TTATACTGTGGCTGTGATGCTCTCTGCAGATTTTAATCTAAATGTGTAGAATGCATAACATTTATTATGGATGACTCAAAAGATGCTGACTGCACCAATGTTGCCCCAGGTAAAACAGTATTATGTTATACAACAAAAATTATAGCTACCATTTCCACTGTCAGTAATGAACCTTTACACTCAACAAATACGGTTTTATTTTCCATCTTTAATTTTACTGTGTCATCTTTGATTGATGATCACTTCTAGTAACTAAATAAAAACAGCTAAATTTTTCTTTTCATCCAAAAAGGAGTTATGGGACTTTTTTCAACCCAGTCTTCCTCACAAGCTGCAGTTCTACCCCAACAACCTCCACCAAGATGACAGGGCAACTTGTCTGCAGCTATCTGCCCCGAGAGGCAAAATCAGGGGCAAAAACATCTGCAAATCTGTCACTACTGCTTGTAAAGCTTAAATGCTGTGAGTGCACATTAATTTAGTTGGACACGGTTTAGTGATGTTTTAGTGAAACTGTTGGAGGGTGGACAAAAATAGGATTTTGAAAAGAAATAACACCCTTGGGAGAGAGTAAAACAAACCTGTCGTCAGTGTGTTGTGGTCTGGTGTTGGCAGGTGTTCCGATGGGTGGACCAAGCTGCGGAGGTGTTGCAGGGCCTCAACGAGCAGCGGCAGCACAGCCAGTTCTGTGATGTGGTGCTGGTGGCCAATGAGCTGCGGGTCCCCGCTCACCGAGCCCTGCTGGCCATCTCCAGCCCGTACTTCCACGCTATGTTCACCTTGGGCATGAGGGAGGAGCGCCAGCAGGAGGTACACAGGAAGCTGCTAAGAAAATGTTCTAGACTGGAAACATCAGGGAATTGTGTCCCTTGATCAGTTTGTGTTCTTTTGTCTTCCTTCCTCATTCGGTGTCACTCAATTATTTTTGTAATAATTGCAGTCGTTAGTGAAGTAAATAAGATGACTCGGATGGAGAGGACAGGCATTTGCACATATGAGTCTCCGTTTCCGTCTACAGGTGGAGCTGGTTGGGATGTCCTACATCGGTCTGAAGGCTGTGGTGGACTTCTTGTACAGTGGAGAGCTGCCATTGGATGGAGGAAACATTGACTACGTGTTGGAAGCTGCCCACCTTCTGCAGGTAAGAAAAGTGATACTTTCTGCTCTGTACATGATGTTAAAGGGATAGTTCAGGTTACTTGACGTGGGGTTGTGTGAGGTATTCATGCATAGTCAGTGTGTTACCTGCAGTAGATTCAGATCAGCGCGCCGCCAGTTAGGAGAGGCGGCCAGGATCCACTAGCAGAGCGATGTGTCGCTGTGCACAGGGCCAGCAGAAAAAACATGTTTTAGATACTTTTAAAAAACACCCACCGAAACAATCCAATATCCGTTTAAATGTACGCTCCATGCAGAAGCACTTTCCTTTGGCACTGTATGTATGTATGAAGTACTGGGCTGTTGTGTGCAGGTGTGGCAAGTGGTGGATTTCTGCTGCCAGTACCTGGAGCGGGAGGTGAGTGAGGACAACTACCTGTACCTGCAGGAACTGGCTCTGCTCTACAGCCTTGAGCGACTGGACGCCTTCATCGACCACTTCATCCTCACACGCTTCGCCGCACTCTCGTTCACCACAGATTTTCTTCACAACATTCCTTTACACAAACTCTCCTCCTACCTCTCTAGTGGCCAGGTAAGTACTCCAGGTTTAATGTTTTGAGAAAGAGTATTCTTCGGTTTGGAAAAGACGCTCCGACCATGACACAACATGAAATCCCGTTATGTTTGTGGGGAAAAGATCATAGGAAGCCTCAGAGCTCCTCTCCTCATCATCAGGTTCAGCATGAGAGCGAGCAGGCACTTTTCCAGGCCACCATGCAGTGGCTCAGCCAGACGCCCGAGCGGACGGCCCACGCCAGACAGCTCCTCTCGCACATTCGCTTCCCTCTGATGCCGCCGGTGGACCTAGTGGGCCAGGCGCTTCCTGCGGTGCGGGCCCTGCTGCCGGAGGAGGCCGGCTGTGAGGCCCTGGTGGAGGAAGCTCTTGAGTACCACACCAGTGCCAGCGCGCAGCCGCTCCTGCAGACAGGACGCACCATGCTGAGGGGAGGAGTAGAGCAGCTGCTGCTGATTGGAGGAGAGGTACAGATGGGTCATGGGATCACTTTGATGTCTTTTTTTTTTTTTTTAACTGGTCTTAGTGAAAAACATGATGAACACATAACCAAGTTTGAGCTGCTGGTCTGAGGTGTCAGACTTTGGGACATGCACTGCACAGTAGTTTGGTGATGTTGTCAGATGACGTTGTGGTTATAAAATCGGGGGTTTAGCAGCAGCTTGAAGCGACTGCTGGTTATCATGTATCTTAATGGGCCACGTTTCCATCTCTGTTTCAAACTTGTTCCGTTGTCATGTGTGCTCTGCTGTTTATTGTAAAGTACTTTGTAACTGTGTTTTTAAGAGTATAATATAATTATTATCATGTGACTTTCTGTTACAAGACTTGAATTGGACTTGGAATTTCTTTGGACTTGATTTGAACTTTTTGCTGATTGCTGAAAACCTTTATGTTGCAACAAAACTGTAAAAAGTGAGATTTTTTAACAACTACAACTTTCTTCAGATACAATAAACTCTTTCACATCAGCTGGAGCGGGAAACTCATTCATTTCCTGTCCTTACCTCTTGAGGTATCGGAATTTGGAGAGGAGCTGAGCGCCAATGTTTGTCGGCTGGACGGAGAAACAGGAAGCTGGGAGGTGGAGACGGAGCTGCCGGCCCAGCGGAGCCACCACTGCCTGGCAGTACTGGGGGGCTTTATCTTCGCTGCGGGCGGCAGCTCGTCCAGGGACAACGGCGGAGACGCTGCCTGTAACCTGCTGTACAGATACGACCCCCGCCACAACCAGTGGACCAGGGTACTGTACCACACAGCCAGTTCCACTCTCCCTATCGCATACTGTCATTTTGTAAATGAAGTGTATATATCACACACAGAACATGTGCTCAAGCTCTAACATTGTCAGAACATTCAGCGGAGCAGGTCGTTTCAGGAAGTGTCAGAGAAGATAAAAACCCAGACGCAGTGACACTATGATGATTTTCCAGGGTGCTCCAATGAACCAGCGGCGAGTGGATTTTTACCTGGGGGCAGTGGGAGAGTGTCTGATCGCCGTGGGTGGGAGGAACGACACTGGAGCTTTGTCCTCTGTGGAGGTTTATTGCCCCGCTGAGGACTGCTGGTCCTACGTGGCAGGACTTCCCAGGTAGGAACACAACAAGTTTCTACTGGCTCTGCTGTTTCAGGAGGAAGCTGCTGAACGACGCCATGAAATTTCATACATACATTTATTTATTTATTTATTTTTTAATAAATGTATAATGCTGCTTTGCCTTACTTGTAATGTTTGTAGTGGCAAAAGTAGTAGTAGTAAGTTATTAGTGTATTTATTTATTAATTTCTCCTTCCCCAATACTTTTCTTATTCTCCCTCGACCTTACATGTACATCTATCCAGACTCAGTGTGGAACACACACACACACACACACACGCACACACTGGTATAAACTAAAATCAAATCGGTAGTAACAGCAATTGGGCGACCTACTGTATATCCCTTTAGTCCTTTTGAAATTGTCTTGTAATTCTCTTTCTCACTGTTCTCTTTTCTTTGTGATGATCTGATTTTCATCTAAGTCAAAATGATCAACAACACAATGTGCTTACACGAACAAAACACAAACAATTCTAACTTTTCATGTCTTTATTGAACACACCCATTAAACGCTCACAGTGCTGGCGGACAAAATAAGTGAACCCTTGAATTTAATAACTGGTCAAACCTGATGGAATCAGATCATTTTATTGTATTATATCATTATCATTTTACAGAATCAGATCCCAAATCTGATTCTGTAAACCTCCTTTGGTAGCAAGAACTTCAAACAAGCTTCTGATCAGACCTGCACAATGTCCAGGAGGAATTTTGGACCACCTGACCACAGGTTGGCAGGAAACAGCAAATGGTCTGAATATGTTTCTAAATGAGAGATTTTAGTTTTTGATTTTTTTTTTTTGAATTTGTGTCTTAGTTGACCTGAGCCTGAGGAAGTACAGGTTAGAGACAAAATGAGCTGATCCTGACCAGAGGTGTCCTGTATGAATGACAAACCCTTTTCATTTAGTAAATATTTTCTCTGGGACTACATGCACATACATGCAGGTCAAAAGATTTTTTTAATAGTCCTATATTTGGCTTTTTGAATTCTGTCTTTTCTAGGTTTACTTACGGCCATGCGGGGACGGTCCACCATGGTGAGGTCTACATCTCAGGTGGCCATGACTACCAGATCGGCCCATACCGCCGAGATGTTCTCAGTTATGATCCATTACGGGACGGTGATGTATGGGTGGAGCGCCAGGCCATGTCTCTGGCCCGAGGCTGGCACTGCATGGCCTCCCTCAACCACCTCATCTACGCCATCGGGGGCAGCGACGACCACGAGGACACCACCGAGCGCTTCGACATCCTGCAGGTCGAGTCCTACGAACCACACAGCAGCCAGTGGACCCGGGTGGCGGCGCTGCTGCTGCCCAACAGCGAGGCGGGGCTTGCGGTCTGGGCAGGGAAGATCTACGTGCTCGGGGGCTACAGCTGGGAGAACATGGCCTTCTCCAGAGCCACGCAGGTGTATGACCCCAACAAAGGTTCTTGGTCCAGAGGGCCTGACTTGCCAAAACGTATCGCAGGGGCCTCAGCATGCGTGTGCACTGTAAAGCCCTCAGCGTCATCACCCTCTCCAGAGAAGAAGAAGGTGGGACAAAGAAAGAAAGGAAGATCACACCCCATGTAACAACAGTCATGAAGGAGCGTCCCTCTGTCCTGAGCGACTGAACTACAGCCTCAGACTCTTCTAACAAGAGATAAACATTTTGTTACGTCCCCCACACAAGTGTCAGAGTCATTTTCCTGCAGCTTCACAATAATAGAGAGGAAGAGCAATAATGCTAACCACTGGATTAAAAATGAAAGTTCCTTTGGTAAATACCTGATAAATGTGTGTTAACAAATACTACATCACATGTTGGACAGTGTGTGTCATTTCTGTGTCTGTGGGAGACATAACAGTATTCAGGCACCTGTCTGTCTATTTAAAGTCAGGAGCTTGTAGAAACTCAAGAGACTGGTTGGTGGGTTAATATTAAGTGTAAACCTGCGAGATGTGTTTAAGGGTGGGGGTGGGGGGGGGGTTGCGATTGTACTCTCACACTCCAGACTGCGCTGTGGACAAATCTGCAGCATGTAAACCAGAAGGCCACCAGGAAGGGAAGGCTGACTTAAAACTGGGGAATCCCTTTGTATAATGCTGATTGTTTAGAGCTGTTAAAAGAAAGTAGAAAAACCCAAGTTCACTTCAGTGTCTTCATTTTGAAATGTAGGCGACTCGTAAAATGACAGCATGGCAGCAAACAACAACTCTTTTAGTACAGTTGTCAGCAGACATCTTGATATTTGAGTGGAATGTTTTCCCTTTGTTTGCTCTTTATATTATTACAAATTAAAATTAAAAAATTAAAATAAAATAAGAAAAATTAAAATAGTTTTTTTGTCTAGAGTCAGTTATCAAAAAAAAAAAAAAAAGCTGCAAGTAATAGAATGAAATGCAGACTGTGATGTTTCAGATTGGGAGAGATGTGCCCCAGGTCTGTGCAGCAGCTGCATTTACCTGATCAACCTGAATAGCGATTGTCCAAATGTAGCTTAGCAGCTGTAACGAGGAACTAACCAGCTCCACACTGCAATATGTGACAATGTTCTGTTCCGTTGTCTCCTGGATCAGCAGCTGTAGCCACAGTCTTTTAGCAAAAGCAGACAAAATGACAGTTGCCAACCAGAAGCAATAACTAAGAGGTCGGGGCAGAGAGAACCGTCAATCATTTCAATTCATTTTTTCCCTCATCAATCTTAACTCAAGATCCCATAATGACAGAGTGAAATTTTTTTCAAATTTATTAAAAAGAAAAATATCACACAGACATAAGTATTCAGACACTTTACTGGATTTAGTTAAAGCACCTTTGGCAGTGATTACAGCCTCAAGTCTTCTAGGATGGTGTTGGGAGGTGCCTGGCGTCCTCCAGACATGACGTTTTAGGGATATTCAGCCCACACAGAGTTTACACAGTATTTGTAACATACCTAACTAACGGTTTACTAATCGTTGGTTGAATGTTTCTATTTACATTGTTGAATATTAGAAAGTTCTACATATTTGTGAAATGTTAAAAATACTGTAAACTCTGTAAATGGACCATCCAAATAAGGCAAGACCACACTTTTTTTTAATGAAGTGATATACTCAGTATTGTCTATTACAATATATTTAGTAATAACTTACTAAATAAAAATAGTCTATAGATTGTGAAGAAAATCATTCATGAAACATTGCAGTTTTCACCAAAATAGAAAAGAGCTTTTCAATGCCCTGATTTGTCTTCACTTCACATTTCATCATCATTAGGTAAACAAGTCACTGCTTATTCACAGTGTGATACTGAAGGTAGACTGCATGTAGCTGGTCTGAGTCCTGACAGCCTCAGACAAAGGGGTAGTAGGGATGAGACTTGACACTGGCAAACAAAACAAAGACTTGAGTGAGTGAAAATAGTTGCACCTCGCAGTAGACTGTCGCTCACGTTTGGCCGTGCGTTTACTCACTCATCCAGAATGCAGGCCCTCCAGCCTCGGTCCAGTCCTCGCAGCGCTCTCATGTCCTCTTCAGACAGACTGAAGTCAAAGATCTGCGGCAGCATTGACACAGTTTGACAAGAGCATTATGGACAATATTATTATCCCTGTAGTACAACTGTGAAGGCAGCTCTTCTTAGGTGAAACGGACTCATTGCCCCTTTTGGTCAACTGACTTAGAAGAGGTGAAATCTGACACATCATCCAATATATCACTGCTCCAACACTTTGTAATGAGTGATAACAAAACTGACATTATCCAACATGAGGAGAGAGAGTGGTTTTGATATATTTATTTGTATATTTCAGTCAGTAGACTCATGTAGTTAGATTATTATGTGACTATAGAATAGTTTTTTTTGGTGTTTGGGCTCTGATCTTGTCACACCCACACAAGCAAAACACCAAGCTCAGCGCTACATACAGGGGGATGGACGTAGACTCAGAGCCGACAGGTGGATGCTGGGGTGGAGATGAGTGGTGGCACCAAGAGATGCAATTAACAGCAGAGTGGTGAGGCAGAAAGAATAAGCAGAGCACTGACGGCGTGTGTGGAGACTGCAGTTAAAAGTAAAATAACTGCTACTTCTTCATTTCATTCACAAATATTCTATGGTGACTATTCCGGTAAAAGTCTATGGTCATTTACTGTCCACCAGGAGAAATGGGGGGATTGGATAGATAGATAGATAGATAGATAGATAGTTTATTTATCCCCTCGGGGAAGTAGATTGTCCCTCCTGCCGTCCTCTGGTAACACACCTCAGTTTACTATTGCTAAACAAAGTAGAGTTCATTTTGTCATTCAAAGATCAACTTCATCCATATGTTTGATTGTGTCCTCATTGTCATGTCTTCATTATTAATGCCTCATTTATTCAGCTGCTTATAGAGATTAGGTTTTAAATAAATATCTTCACTTATCACCAAGTGGTGTGGTGTTGTGTGTTCTTTCAAAGCAGAGATTGAGGTCTCTGTATCATCCAAATGCAGACAGGCAGGTGCTGTGAAAAGACAATGGCCAAGGCTTACAGACCAACAGGTGAGCAACAGGAGAGGTGGCAAGAATGGGAGTCCACAGCGTGAACAACTCAGAGGACAATACATTGAAACATGCTACGATCTGGCAGCGAGCAGGAGGAACAGGCAGGCTTAAATACTGTAATTGAGAAACGAGGGGCAGGTGTGTGGATGGGAGGGGGAGGTCGAGGTGACTGGGACGAGCAGGGGCAGATATGGAACAAAAGAAACAGGAACTGTGAGAGACAGAGAGGGAGAGTTTTTACCTTTGCGTTTTCAAGAATGTGATGAGGCTTGTCACTCTTAGGGATGACCGAAATACCCTGCTGTATATGGTACCTCAGCAATACCTGGGGGAATACCACTGTTACTGACGATGCAGTACACAGGTACACATGCATGATACAGCGCAGACACTGAAAACCGACCTGTGCTGAGCTGCGTCTGTGCTTTTTGGCTACATCTGCAACCACCGGGTCCTCCAGGAGCTTATGTGGATCGGTGTCTCCACTGATCCTGAGACAGACAAGATGAAAGAAATTCACAGGAATCAGTAGACTCGGTGGGTAGGCACGTTTCTATCTCACTCATATACTGTCATACTGTTACTGCATCCTACTTCAGTCTACGTCAAACATACACAACTCGTCTAGAGTCACGTGCTGATATTCCATGAGACTATTACTGAACTCGAGCTCCAGGGGTTGTAGATCAGATGAGAGAATAAATCCTATGGCATAAAAAAAATGATGCAAGGTGCCATGAGATCTGTTGACCCGGCGATGGCCGTATCCACAGCCACACAATTGAAATAGAAATATGGGAACATTCATGCAGTCTCACCACACTCAACATACAAAGTCAAAGACAGGTTTACGGTTTCACGTACTCTCCCACAGCATTACACCAGTCTGTCAGTTTTATTTGCTGTCACTTTAACCTTCCTGGTTTGGCTAAAAGAGGCTGAGGGTTCTGAAGGTTCTGTTTTGTTAGCAGTATTTTTCTGAGTCTGCATTTGGTTGACCCGAGGCTCAGTTATTTACCACATCTCCTTATTTTCATTTGTATTTTTAATATGTTTTAGGGTGAAATTAAACCCCTTTTTACTAACAATCCAGAATGCCTAGGTCAAATAGACGGTCTCATATCACTCCCACACTCACTTCCCTTCAGTGGGTCCCTGCTACATGTAGAATCCAGTTCAAAATTCTCACAGTTTAACTGATCTACCCAACCCCTACCCATCAGCTCGCTCTCTCAGGTCAAATGTCATTCAAGTCAAACCTAGCGTCTGTCCTACACACTCGTTTAAAGACGTGGTGATGGAGCTTCATTCATTTTTAACCATCAGTGTGAGCCAGTAGAGTGTGTGAGTGATGCTGCGCGTCTTACAGCTGCGGGGGTCGCTCAGGTGAGCCAAAGGGGCTGTAGGCAGTCAGGGCGATGTTCTTGGACCTGCAGAACTCTATCATGTCTGTCTGGACTAGGTATGGATGTAGCTCCACCTATGGATGGTATACAAAGTGAGCATCAATGCTGAAGGCCTGAACAATGGACACAAAAACATGATCTGTGACACAACATCACATGTAGTTTCTGACGGGGTAAACCGGTCATATGATGTTTGTACCATCATATGATGTAAAGCAATTACTATGTGGGAATATCACCCCTTAATACAAAAAAATCCTCATGTAAAGGATTCCTCAAGATGTTGAAACTTTCCTCTGACACTCCATGTTGACATGACTGCATCACATCATATCTGCTGATTTGTCAGCTGCATATTCAAGCTGCCAATCTCCTGTTGTACCACATCCCAAAGGGGGAGGGGGGGGGGGGGCCTTTTAAAGTCAGGAAGCTTGTAGAAACTCCAAGAGACTGGTTGGTGGGATTAAATATTAAGTTACAAACCTGTCATGCGAGATGTTAAGGGTGTGGTGGGTGGGCGGGTTGCGATTGTACTCTTCGACACTCCAGACTGCGCTGTGGGACAAATCTGCAGCATGTAATCAGAAGGCCACCAGAAGGGAAGGCTGCACTTTATAAACTGGGAATACTGGCAATTCACCCTTTGTAATATATCTGGATTGTATTCAGATGCTGTTAAAGATGAGAAAGTGACGTTAAGGATAAAACCCAAGTTAACACTTTCAGGTGTCTTCATTTGGCATATGTAGGAGCGAGATCTGTCCGTAGAATGACAGCGATGGCGCATAACAACAACTCTTTTAGTACAGGTTGTCAGCAGACATCTTGATTATTTTGGTGGAATGTTTCCGTTTGTTTGTCTCTTATATATTGAATTACAAATTAAAATATAAAAAAATTAAAATAAAATAAGAAAATTTAAAATAGTTTTTTTTGTGTCTAGGAGGTCAGTTTATCAAAAAAAAAACAAAAAAAGCTTGCAAGTAATAGAATGAAATGCAGTGGTGATGTTTCAGATTTGGGAATGAGATGTGCCCCAGGTCTGTGCGGCAGCTGCATTTACGCTGATCAACACTGAATAGCGATTGTGTCCCAAAATGTAGCTAGCCAGCGCTAACGAGGAATAACCAGTCCACACTGCAATTATGTGACAATTGTCTGTTCCCGTTGTCTCCTGGATCAGCAGCTGTAGCCACAGTCTTTTAGCAAAAGCAGACAAAATGACAGTTGCCAACCAGAAGCAATAACTAAGAGGTCGGGGCAGAGAGAACCGTCAATCATTTCAATTCATTTTTTCCCTCATCAATCTTAACTCAAGATCCATAATGACAGAGTGAAATTTTTTCAAATTTATTAAAAAGAAAATATCACAGGACATAAAGTATTCAGACACTTTACTGGATTTAGTTAAGCACCTTTGGCAGTGATTACAGCCTCAAGTCTTCTAGGATGGTGTTGGGAGGTGCCTGGCGTCCTCCAGACATGACGTTTTAGGGATATTCAGCCCACACAGAGTTTACACAGTATTGTAAACATACCTAACTAACGGTTTACTAATCGTTGGTTGAATGTTTCTATTTACATTGTTGAATATTAGAAAGTTCTACATATTTGTGAAATGTTAAAAATACTGTAAACTCTGTAAATGGACCATCCAAATAAGGCAAGACCACACTTTTTTTTTAATGAAGTGATATACTCAGTATTGTCTATTACAATATATTTAGTAATAACTTACTAAATAAAATAGTCTATAGATTGTGAAGAAAATCATTCATGACATTGCAGTTTTCACCAAAATAGAAAAGAGCTTTTCAATGCCCTGATTTGTCTTCACTTCACATTTCATCATCATTAGGTAAACAAGTCACTGCTTATTCACAGTGTGATACTGAAGGTAGACTGCATGTAGCTGGTCTGATTCCTGACAGCCTCAGACAAAGGGGTAGTAGGGATGAGACTTGACACTGGCAAACAAAACAAAGACTTGAGTGAGTGAAAATAGTTGCACTCGCAGTAGACTGTCGCTCACGTTTGCGCGTGCGTTTACTCACTCATCCAGAATGCAGGCCCTCCAGCCTCGGTCCAGTCCTCCAGCGCTCTCATGTCCTCTTCAGACAGACTGAAGTCAAAGATCTGCGCAGCATTGACACAGTTTGACAAGAGCATTATGGACAATATTATTCATCCTGTAGTACAACTGTGAAGGCAGCTCTTCTTAGGTGAAACGGACTCATTGCCCCTTTTGGTCAACTGACTTAGAAGAGGTGAAATCTGACACATCATCCAATATATCACTGCTCCAACACTTTGTAATGAGTGAATAACAAAACTGACATTATCCACATGAGGAGAGAGAGTGGTTTATGATATATTTATTTGTATATTTCAGTCAGTAAGACTCATGTAGTAGATTATTATGTGACTATAGAATAGTTTTTTTTGGTGTTTGGGCTCTGATCTTGTCACACCCACACAAGCAAAACACCAAGCTCAGCGCTAACATACAGGGGGATGGACGTAGACTCAGAGCCGACAGGTGGATGCGGGGTGGAGATGAGTGGTGCACCAAGAGATGCAATTAACAGCAGAGTGGTGAGGACAGAAAGAATAAGCAGAGCACTGACGGCGTGTGTGGAGACTGCAGTTAAAAGTAAAAAATAACTGCTACTTCTTCATTTCATTCACAAATATTCTATGGTGACTATTCCAGTAAAAGTCTATGGTCATTTACTGTCCACCAGGAGAAATGGGGGATTGGATAGATAGATAGATAGATAGATAGATAGATAGATAGATAGATAGATAGATAGATAGATGATTAGATAGATAGATAGATAGATAGATAGATAGTTTATTTATCCCCTCGGGGAAGTAGTTGTCCCTCCTGCCGTCTCTGTAACACACCTCAGTTTACTATTGCTAAACAAAGTAGAGTTCATTTTGTCATTCAAAGATACAACTTCATCCATATGTTTGATTGTGTCCTCATTGTCATGTCTTCATTATTAATGCCTCATTATTCAGCTGCTTATAGAGATTAGGTTTTTAAATATAAATATCTTCACTTATCACCAAGTGGATGTGGTGTTGTGTGTTCTTTCAAAGCAGAGATTGAGGTCCCTGTATCATCCAAATGCAGACAGGCAGGTGCTGTGAAAAGACAATGGCCAAGGCTTACAGACCAACAGGTGAGCAACGGGAGAGGTGGCAAGAATGGGAGTCCACAGCGTGAACACTCAGAGGACAAAACATTGAAACATGCTACGATCTGGCAGCGAGCAGGAGGAACAGCAGGCTTAAAATACTGTAATTGAGAAACGAGGGGCAGGTGTGTGGATGGGAGGGGAGGTCGAGGTGACTGGACGAGCAGGGGCAGATATGGAACAAAAGAAACAGAACTGTGAGAGACAGAGAGGAGAGTTTTTACCTTTGCGTTTTCAAGAATGTGATGAGGCTTGTCACTCTTAGGGATGACCGAAATACCCTGCTGTATATGGTACCTCAGCAATACCTGGGGAATACCACTGTTACTGACGATGCAGTACACAGGTACACATGCATGATACAGCGCAGACACTGAAACCGACCTGTGCTGAGCTGCGTCTGTGCTTTTTGGCTACATCTGCAACCACCGGGTCCTCCAGGAGCTTATGTGGATCGTGTCTCCACTGATCCTGAGACAGACAAGATGACAAGAAATTCACAGGAATCAGTAGACTCGGTGGGTAGGCACGTTTCTATCTCACTCATATACTGTCATACTGTTACTGCATCCTACTTCAGTCTACGTCAAACATACACAACTCGTCTAGAGTCACGTGCTGATATTCCATGAGACTATTACTGAACTCGAGCTCCAGGGGTTGTAGATCAGATGAGAGAATAAATCCTATGGCATAAAAAAAATGATGCAAGGTGCCATGAAGATCTGTTGACCCGGCGATGGCCGTATCCACAGCCACACAATTGAAATAGAAATATGGGAACATTCATGCAGTCTCACCACACTCAACATACAAAGTCAAAGACAGGTTTACGGTTTCACGTACTCTCCCACAGCATTACACCAGTCTGTCAGTTTTATTTGCTGTCACTTTAACCTTCCTGGTTTGGCTAAAAGAGGCTGAGGGTTCTGAAGGTTCTGTTTTGTTAGCAGTATTTTTCTTAGTCTGCATTTGGTTGACCCGAGGCTCAGTTATTTACCACATCTCCTTATTTTCATTTGTATTTTTAATATGTTTTAGGGTGAAAATTAAACCCCTTTTTACTAACAATCCAGAATGCCTAGGTCAAATAGACGGTCTCATATCACTCCCCACTCACTTCCTTCAGTGGGTCCCTGCTACATGTAGAATCCAGTTCAAAATTCTCACAGTTTAACTGATCTACCCAACCCTCTACCCATCAGCTCGCTCTCTCAGGTCAAATGTCATTCAAGTCAAACCTAGCGTCTGTCCTACACACTCGTTTA